ATTCAACCAAAAAGAGTCTCTCAGGATATACTTGAGGGCTTATTTGGAACAATTAGAGAAATGGGTGGTGACTCTTCTATACAAATGCTTTAATCCTATAGTTATACAATAAACAAATTAACAATTACAATGCAAATTACATCTGAAATAAAAAGCCTGAATTATGGTTCAGCTAACAATTCAGGTTGCGTGCTTGCTGATTTGAAACGAAGATAATTTGAGTGCTGCCAAGAGAAAACCTGTCGTAGGAGTTTCAATTATATTTTGTGTACAGTTAGCCGTTTACGGAAAATTTATCATTTTGATAAATTTTCCCATAGATAGCTAACTGTACACAAAATATAATTGAAACTCCTACGACAGGTTTTTCTTTGGTGGCACCTATTTTGTTAACTAATTTATTAATGATTTATTTATTTGATTGATTCATTTATCTTTTTTTTTTTTAGTGATTACTGAAAAAGTCTACGATCAAACGTGCAAAATGTAAAAACATACGATCATTATAAAGTTCAGGTTGAAACGCTTTCTAATTTTAGCCGTCAAATATTTCAAGAAATTCTTAATGACGATTTGATAATGGGTTGAATTCAACTGCCATTAACTTCTAATAATGAACAGATTAAAAAAGAAAATATGACTATTAATGACTTGCAATTTGAAAGAGCATGACTAATTGAATATTTGTTATATCAGGTTGATGTGAAAGATCTTTTAATGACTTGGTCAAAAAATATACATCAGATGGCGTTAGATTCTGTTCTATTAAAAAAAAATATCTAATGGCTTATAACATGGTCAACAAATCTGAAAAGTTGATTAAATAATTACAAATGTGCTGGTGATTGGTTTAAAGACTTTCAATTGTTGGTTCCAAACAATATTAATATAGAAACCCAGCGGTTAGTAGCTTATATTTTACTCGAAAAAACTATAAGAAACACATTTAGACAAACACACAATGTATATCATGATCAGCCCTTTTCAAATTATGCAGAATCGTAGACTATACTAAAAAAATTATTGACTTAGAAGCAGCCGAAGCATCGAAATTTCAATATATTATCGGATGGACTATCTATAAACTAACAAAAAGTGATAAATTAACATTAGCACATGATAAATTTGCAAAGATCAAGTCATATCTGAATGTTCTTAGTTCTGAACAGGTGGAATATATATATGAAACTCGTTCAAAGACAACAACAGTTATTCCAGGGGCTGAGTTCATTCAATTCATGTATTATTTAGAGTTACTTATCCTTCAACTCTTTGAAAAACATATTGAATATGGGCCAAATATCCTAACTTATATTGATAAAAATCTTGTAAGCAATCAACCTTTAAAGGAGCAGTTTAATGGCCTTTTGCGAATAGTATATGAAAAACAAGAATCACTTTTAGAATTCACACATAATTATATAGAATTATCAAAAGAAACAGAAGATTATTTGTTAATGCATTTGATCAAGATTTATATGCAAAGCCAACAATGATCCTGGCGACAATTTAAAGGATATATTCCAGAAAAAGGTTCATCTAGTTTGTGAGAAAATGTCAAGGCAATGAATACGGATTTAAAAAATAATGTAAAAAAAGATGAAACTCCCAAAATAAAAGCTGTAACATTTAAGAAAGGAATGCTACCAGAAGATCTTCATTTGGCGCTTGGTCAACTTAGGATTTGGGCTCAAGGCAATGGAGCTAAAAGTGCATTTGAGAAGGTGTTTACATTATCTGACCTCAAGATTCTTGTTCAGGCATTTCAAAATGAATCAGTTGATATAAAAGGAAAAAAAAAATCAGTCTTTGTATGTTTAATCATTTACAAAACGGTTTAGAATTTAATGAAGAAACAATAAAGAAAGGTCAACTTTTTGTTTGAAACCAAAGTTATTTATTATTAGTATGTAAAATTGATCCTGCATATATTATTGGAGTGTAATTATATATAATGAAATTAATTTTATTTAATTTATATTTAGGTGAAATAATTACAAAATATTTTTGGATCCCATTTGATTTGAATCTGCTAAAAATGGTTATTTGGCAATGTAATTTTGAAGCTTACTATGACAAAGGTTGCTATGACGAAGACATAGTCAAAACAAAAAAAAAAAAAAAGGAATTTAAATGATTTTTGTGAGCAGATCATGGTGCGTACGTTGTCATTATAAAAATTAGAGGATCTAATAAGGTTGTTAGCAGTTACAATTCTTTAGATTATCAAAGAAGTATGAATAATACTCAAAGTTTCCAATTTGGATTCAGCTCAAGGTGATGACTTATCGCATTTGTGTGATATTTGAAGTTGCTAATCAGAAACTGCTATAGCAAAGTATATGATAAAGTGGTATATAAATTCATTGAAAGCAGTAACAATTCTCTCAGTTAATATAATCTTGGAATATGCATAAACATAGTTAAAGGCGATTTATTAGTTTTCAAATATATCAAATATAGAGAATTTTACAAAGTAGGAATATATAGTCAGGCAATTAGAAATCTGGTAAATGGTTGCAAAAAAGTGAAAATAATAAATAAATTTGTCATAAATAGAATGACTTTAATGCTAATTTTCATATCGAACTTTTTTTAGACTTTATTTGATATTATTTATTTATATAGATGAATTCAATTCAAATTTATTTAAAAATTTCAAGAATCACATAATATATAAATATTCTAATAGTAAACAAAAGACATAGATCTAACTTATATAAAGAATTTATCAAAGCTCATGTTATAAAAACAAATCAAGTAATCAAACTCGACTTAAATTTAGCATCGAAGTTATCAAACTCTTAAAATTTTTTTTTTAAAAAAAAAAATACAATTCGCTGCCCTTATAATTTGCTTTTTCTAAAATATTTTTGTAGCCTAAAAAATTGATTCATAAAAGTTTTAAAGAATTCTTACATATTTTAGCTAAATACGAAATGTATTACTATAGATGTTATCTTCTAAAATACAAGTCACTCTCATTATAGTGAACTCTCATTATAGTGAAGTTAGGCTCAAAACCAACCTATATAAAATCCTCTTGATATAGTGAATTTACTAATAAACTCTTGATATAGTGAATTTTTTAAAAATTTTTATTAATAGTCCCGATTACTTCACTATAACAAGAGTGACTTGTATTCTAATAATATATATAATACGTAAGATAAGATAGTTCGCTAAAAAGAAGGTTAATAAAGTCGGAATTTAACATTCGACAACCTCAATTGTTTAAGAAAATAATATTTAGTTTCTGCAAACACCAAACTGTACCTAATTTTTATATAAATCTGCCAGGCCGCAGAAATAGTATACGACAATAACATGTCTCGAATCAGTAGTTAACTAATATGACCAAAAGTTCTTTGATATAGGATCGTAAATTTTTTATTATATATTTATATGATGGTTACACAAATAATTGTGCAATATTTTTAGTAGATATATTTTATAATAAGTTGACCCCCCGTAATTTTACTAACCCCTAGATAGTATTAATATTTTCTGGGATTTCTGTAATAAGAGGTGTATAGTATGATTAAAGCTTAGATGACAAGAGATCTAAGAATTCTGTCTATTTCTTTAATAATATAAGTTTGTAGTTAATACTAGTATATTATTATAGTAGTTTGCTATATATATTAGAAAATATCCAAGAATAAAGTGATTATTAGAAGTACTTGTTCTACAGTACTATTATTAAGTTTATAGAATAAGAAGAACTGTATATTGAATTGATTAGTTTAAATATAATTAATATGACTATTGCTAATATTGTTAAACCAGGTATAATGAGTTTTGTTGAAATAAATACTAATATTGTACATATTAAAGTAGTTTAGAAAGTTAATAAGTTTGTATTTAGTAGATAAGCTATGTATTGTTCTAAGTATTAAAGTTTCTAAGAACTATTAGATAAAAGTTTTGTTTAAATACTTGTTTGATTTAGTTAATAACTATTTCTTGTGTATTGTTTCTTTTAGTTAAATTAGTAAAAGAAAGATAAACAGATATAATATAAAATTTGATTTAATTTTTAAAGAAAAGGTCTAGGACAATTGCTCTATCAGAATATACTTAATAGCTATATAAGTATGGTTAAAATAGTTGCAGATTATAATAGCAGTTCTTTTAGCTAAGATTTCAGAATTAGCCTAGTAGTAGATGAATAGATCATTATTATAAAAGAATAGATTAGATTTGTTAGAGTTTTGTTTCTGTTATACTAACAATAGTAATATTATTATGAAGATAGTAGTCTTGCCATACTTCTCTTTTAGTTACTGAATTAAAGCCTTAAATATTATGAATAGCAATATTAAGATATAGATCTCTAATAGGATTAGAATATTAGTAAAAAAAGCTGTTAATAGAGTTATTATTTGTATATATAGAGGCTAAGATAGGTGAATCTAGAGTGCTATAGTTGAAATCTTGTAGAAATAAAAGTAGATCTGCAGATATATCATGTGTTTTATTAATTGATATTGGTAAAGATATATTAGTAAGGTTGGTTGTTCTAAAAGAGTTAATATAATTAAAAAAAGAATAGATATATTTGATTATAACTTTAATAGAATATTATAAGAGTCATAAATTAATAGAATATAGTAGTTTGATAGTATATTAGTTTTATGTAATAAATAGATATATGCTTCTATTTTGTTGCTATTAATAATAATAAAAGCATAGTATACAAAATGTTTGGTATTGTTTTGTTATAAATATTGTAAAAAAAATTGATAGTTTGTGATTTTCTTAGTAAAAAGAGTTGATAATAAATAAAGAATTTGTTATAGTATAAGTTCAAATCATAAAAGTTTAATAATGTTGATAATAATTTGAATAGATATTCTTTTGTAAATATATTTACTATTTTAAGCTCAGTTCTCATAGCTGTGAAAGATATATATAGATTTTTCATATAATTTGAAAAGAATTGTAAAACAAAAATATTTAATGATGTTATTGCTAAAGACTAAAATAGATTTTTTTAAAAAAATTTATAGTTAGTAGAATTACAAAAAAGAAAGATAGTAGCAAATAAAGAATTTAATTGTGCTTTTGATTTTAAAAGACCAGTCTTTTATAAATATTAATCTTATTTATTATTATTTTGAAGTATACTCAGAGCTTTGCAAACATCTTTAAAAATTAGATAAATAATATAATAAATAGTATAGAGATTTGAAAACAATTTGGCTTCATATACAATATTTAATAGTATTCAAAAATAATAATATTTGCCTGCTTTAGAATATACAAAATATAGCTATTTTATACTATTTTTATATTGTTTTTATTCTTTGCATTTTCTGTCATAGACAAACCAGGTCAAAAAATTAGTATACATAATATTACAAACTTTTTAAAATTTTTGGTTTGTTTTAAAATATACTATTAATATAGTTTTAGTAGTAATTTATAACTAAGCATATCATTAATATTATTATTATTTTAAAAAACTACTATGTGTTAATTAGAAAGATAAATTTGAAGATTCATAATATAGAGTTTTTTATAATATAATTTTTAATAAAGCAGTTTTTAAGCAAATTCAAAAGTAGAAATATATTGTGTATTTAGATAAAGACTAATTTTACTAATTTTATATATGTTATATTTGTATAATTGTTTATCTTAATTGTGATATAATTATTTTTTTTGGTATTAAGGTAACCTCTTGGTTGGTTCTCTTTATTCAGTTATTGATTAACATTTTACTATATGCTAAGCCCCTTTTGGCATCCGTACAGTATACATATTTGGAGGATACATACTAGTTACATGTACAACTTTTGATTGTCTATTTAAGTAGTCCGCTTATTACTAAATTCTACACTAGATGCTATACCTGCAACCCAACTAGGGGGTTACCTATTTAAACCCTCTGCACTTTACTGTATATGTCCGAAAATAAGCTACCATTTTTGGGCAAAAAGTTACACAAAAATTTTGTGGATAGTTTATTTTTGAATAAAAGTATTTT